GACGTTTCATTATTTGTTGGATCCAAAAGAGCAACAGCTAGTGTCTTCTCGATGTTATCCGTTTCATCACCCAAACGCATTACAGCCATTACTGACAGCAACTTCAAGGACTGAAACAAGAGACCATAAACAAAAGTGTTTAAACCCTCTCAAGACTTGTAAACAAAAACGTTAAGAGGACTACAAAACGTACAGCTGATCTAGCTGCTTTAGTAATTGCTCGAAGGTCTTCTTTTCCAGTCCAAACACGTGGCATTGAATCAGCATCATTGCTGAAGATTGTAGCAAACCTGAAGAACACAAAAGTCAGATTACAACACTAAAGTGCTATTTTGAACTGGTTTTAAAAGGCTTAATTATATATACCTATCTTTCATACGCATCAAAACCCTTCCAGCTTCTTCCTTTGCCTTAGATTCTATAACACCTCTTGAATAATCCTGAAGACTCTTCACCATTTTGTCTCTTATTTCTTCTTCAATGTCAAAACAAGCTAATGCACTACTGAATCCAGAAACAGCAGATTCAGTTTCACGCCCATGAAGCTTCTTTACTGCTTTCCACGTTTGATCACTCGCTCCTTCCAACAAAGCTTCCACCGGTTCTGACAGTGCTTGATGAAGCTTTGTCTGCAAAATAGAGGATAAAATCAGTTAGAAAATAGAAAACTTTACTTCCTCCCCAAGCTTTCTTTATTCTTTATATTATACCTCGTATTGATTAGTAAGTTCAGATAACTTGGAAGTCCGGACAGAGGAAACGTGAGCCTCAATGTCACGGACTAACTTGTCCCTTATTTTGGTTGTGTCCCAATTAGCTTGTTCAATGATGGCACCAGCACACTCTTCATCGAACTGGGACATGCAAGTCTTGAGCCAAGTAGTGGAAGCTGAAGAAAACCCTTCACCAATCTCTAAAGCTTTATCAAAAGAAGCCTTAAACTTTTCAAGCATTCCCCATCTTATGTGTCCCAACACATCTTGAAACGCTGGATTCACAAGCTGTAAGGTAAAACAACAGTGAGGAAAGCATATAATATAAGCAAGAAACATGTTCATGAGATCTAAGATTGTATTGTATTTACTTGGAGAAGTTTTTCTTCAAGCTGATGTCTCTTTGAAGATCTGACACCTTCATCAAAGAATGTAGCCTCTCCATCATATCTAACAAAATAAAAGGGATGTGATGATCAACATAAAGCCTTTGCATCTCATAAACCAAATTAGCTTAAAAGATAGAACAAGTTGCTTTGTGTGATTAGCCTTGGTATGTTCTTACTCTGTTAAGCAAGAACCAAGAATAGAAGAAAGCCTCTTTCCAAAACCAGAAACTGGACCAGCTTGCACTTCCTCATCAAGTTTGCGCCAGTCCTGTAAACAAAAGCAAGGTTAGTTAGTGATAGGACTTACAAAGTAAAAGTCAAGATTTGTAGAAACATTACCTCGTTTGTAATGAAATGTGCAAACTTCTCATTTGAGATTTCTTCACACCGAACAGTAGCCACCATGACCTGCAAGAAGAATGAGCTCAGAGGAAGTATAAAGCAAAGTCTAAAGCTATAACTATAAGCTTACCTTGTGGGCAGGAAGGTCAAGATCCTTATTCTCTTTGATGACTCTCCAGATTTGATCTGCACTAAACGAAAAACCTGAGGCTGGAATCACTCCTCTTCTGTCTCCAGCAAGACCACCCGGTGCAATAGAATGCATGAACCTTTGTCTTAAACTAGCAACCTAAGTTAAAAAAAAAAAAAAAAAATTCTGTCTATAAAGCATCCCAATCTATAAGAACCATGGCCTCACACACACACAGACCTGCTCTTTAAACTGTTCTTCCTTCTCTTCATAACTGGAAAGAGCAACAACTTCAACCTAGCCATCAAAAGAGATAAACAGCATGAAATTTTCTGCAACATAACATAGGTATAGCTGTAGCATAACATACGTTGAAGAAGTCACTCATAGGAGTTTCTTTGTGTGCTTCAGGCTTTGGAACAGAGTCCCATATCTGCCAATACAAAGAACAAAATCATTGATCAGCTGCCTTTCTATAAAAATCAACTTCGAATTAGCTAAAGGTCATTTTACCTTTTGAATATCTTCTCTCAATACAGGCTCTAAGTTTTCCAATGGAGTCTGTAGCCAAAACCACATCAATAAAACAATGTAAGTGCCAGTTGGTAGTTACAGAATTGCAAATGTAAAGAAGAGAGTGTACCCTGGTTTTATCTCGTATTACAAACAGCATTGTTGTTTTACGTGGACTAAACAATCGCATCATAACCTGTTAAAGATTCAAATCCAAATGAAATAAGATATCTTTTGATACACGTAAAGAGTTTATAATTTTCCGAGCATCACAAACATTTATACCTGAAAGACAGTTTTCAAGAGAGGTTTATTAGCAGCTTGTTCACGGCCAATATCGTGACACCACCTACAAAACAGTACAAAAGTTGAGAATAAGTAATGAGATACTTAATTTCCTTGCAACAAAAGTGAAAGTTGATATACTAGAAAGTCTCTACTACAGTCTTACATGTTGATCAAGACGATATCTGAGATAGCAAGAGCGAAAAGAGCACTTTGTTTCTCGAATGCAGTATCATCCTGATAGGCCAAGAGAGTACACCATTTAGTATACAATGTCACACACTAAACCAATATGGTAACGAAAGAATTAAAAAAACCTCTCCCCGCTCTCTTCCATCAGTGCCCTCCAAGTCCATAACAAGTGTGCAAGGCTCTATACCGGCACATCTTGCAAGCCAGATACCTTTTGTGGTCTGAGACCTGTAGACAACTTCTTAATTAGGAGACAAAGTTTCATAAAAAGAAAAAAAAAGAACATATGCAAATACTATCAGATGAAAACATACCTTCCCTTAAATGCATCCATCTCCATGAAGTTTGTTCCAAACAAATTATTCAATAATGTACTCTTCCCTGTGATGATGTCACAAAAAAAAGTATTCTTAAGAATTCTGAATATTTAAAACAAAACTATCTGCTCTCTAGAAGAATGCATACCGCTGCTTTGAGGACCCATAATGGAGACAACAGCATAGGAGAGGCCACACTCTCCTAGCTTCACCTCTTTGATGAAGTGATCTATGCCAGAGACATTGTATATACCATCTCCATCAATAAGCTGTACAGAACAAGTTCCCTCGCTCTTATCTGCATCAATGGATCTTATTTGAGATCTCTAACAACCGAGTCAAACAAACAGGTTGTAATCAATGTTACATAAGCATACAGAGCCATTACTTTCTGTAACTTTAACAATGACATTCTTTCTTAAGAAAACATAGAAACATGACTTGTGTGAAACAATCTACATGGATCTATAAGATGATTTTTTTGGTGAAAAATCCTAAAAACAACCTAGCAGTGAGGATCCAAGAGAAATAGTACCCATCATGTGTCTTTCTGAGACAGAATATTCCCAAGAGATTTCACGTTTTAGGGATCCATGCTCTTCGAAAGCTTCCTTTAACACTTAGAACTATTTTTCTTTAATACTTTTTTTTTCTTAGATCTCCTCTACAAAATTTGTTAAGAACACATCAAAAGCTGATCTTGAAAATAATTTTTAATTATCACTGAATCCAATGAAGAATAATAATTCTTCTATACACAAGCAACACACTCCAAAAATAGACACAAACACTCCTATTCCTAAGCCACATCTTACTAAGTTTAGTCATACTTTACTTTTTAATGTACCCCTAACCAGATCTAACACGTAGACAGGGGAAACATACCATCGCAAAAAAATTTTCCCCTACGCAAAATCATGCAGCAGAAATGTCTCTCTCGTTGTCTGAATATAGTTAAACGAACTTTCTGGAATCTCAGAAACTCTACCTCGTAAACAAACTTTATCCCACGAGAAATAAACAGCTGCTTGTCTTGTGTAGTGATTATAAGGAAGTAAAGGAACGTATACTTTCCGGACCGGACCAAAACAGTTGAAATCCTCTACAAGAACGTCTAACTGTTCAAGTTTATAGACGTGGTCTGCCACAAGCAGAACCTTTTGGTTCTTGAACCTTGATTTACTCAAGTATAAACAATTCCTGAAACCCTAGAACACGAAATCTTCATCGTCAAGTTACGAATGTTTTTACCACGTCCAAGAACAAACGACGCCCATATTATTAGTCATGAAAGCAGTTTCTCTTGATCTTCTTCTCTCACCTCGTGCTTCTCAAACTGTACGGCGACTTCTCCGATCACATGACAGGGATCCACGCCGTAGAAGATGGGCATCACGCAGAGCGGACTTGATCACAGTAATTCGAAACATCTCAATGGGCCCCCTATTATGTGGGCCCCCATTATTAAAAATAACTTTTAGTCTTTTATATGTAAGACTATCAGTACAAAAATAAAACATATAAAAAGAAAGAAAAAAAAACAGATTGTATAATGTTGTTAAATTATGATTTGTATATTAGTAAATTTACAATTAAAATAAATATCATACACAATTTCAACTTAAAAAATACGTAAGTTATAGGTTTAATTAACTCAACAAATATGGATATATGAAGAAAAAATATTTTATACAGTGACAAAGAAAAAAAAAGGATATTTAAATAGCATCCTAAAAAAGAATTTAAATAGTGTGAAGAGAGGGGATGACAAAAAATAAAAAAAAAGTGTGGAGAGAGGGAGATTCGAAAATAAAATCTTTTCAAATTTTGGGTTACAACACTAGACGAAGAAACGGACCATTTTTAAATTTCGAAAAAACAAATCGAGATATTAAAATAAGGAAAATAATACTCCCTCCGTTCCATAATATAAGATGTTCTAGAGAAAATTGATGTTTCAAAATATAAGATGTTTTGATATTTTTAAGGTACTTTAACTTTAATATAAAAAGAGAGAGCCACACACTCACACCCTCACTCACTCACCAGTCGCCTCTAGTTCATATCGAAAACCCTAATCCCTCTTCTCACTTAGTTTTCAAATCCTCCACCGACAAAAATGCGAGAGATCCTCCACATCCAAGGCGGCCAATGCGGAAACCAGATCGGCGCCAAGTTCTGGGAAGTCGTCTGCGCCGAGCACGGCATCGACCCCACGGGACGCTACACGGGAGACTCAGATCTCCAGCTCGAGCGCATCAACGTCTACTACAACGAAGCCAGCTGCGGAAGATTCGTCCCTCGCGCAGTTCTCATGGATCTGGAGCCAGGAACGATGGACAGTCTCAGATCTGGACCTTACGGCCAAACCTTCCGTCCCGATAACTTCGTATTTGGCCAGTCCGGTGCGGGTAACAACTGGGCGAAGGGGCATTACACTGAGGGAGCTGAGCTTATTGATTCGGTGCTTGATGTTGTGAGGAAGGAGGCTGAGAACTGTGATTGCCTCCAAGGTGTGTGGATCTGTTTTTTTAAGATGTGTATAGTTGGTTTAGTCCGGTTTAGGATTGATTTGATTTGATTGTGGTTTACTATGGTTAACTTAAGTGTATTAAACACCAATAAAAGAATGTGTAACTGTTTGTTGTTAGTGTGTTGATTATTGAACAGTGGGTGTGTTTTTTGGTTAATTAGAGTTTTATTAATGTGTATAGTTGGTTTAGTCCGGCTTAGGATAGATTCGATTTGATTGTGGTTTATCTATTTCTCTAATACTGTTTTGTTGTTAGTGTGTTTGATTATTGAACAGTGTGTGTGTTTTTGGTTGATTAGGGTTTCAGGTGTGTCATTCGTTGGGAGGAGGAACAGGATCTGGGATGGGGACGTTGTTGATATCGAAGATAAGGGAGGAGTATCCAGATCGTATGATGTTGACGTTCTCTGTGTTTCCTTCGCCTAAGGTTTCGGATACTGTGGTTGAGCCTTATAATGCGACTTTGTCTGTTCATCAGCTTGTGGAGAATGCTGATGAGTGTATGGTTCTTGACAACGAGGCATTGTATGATATTTGCTTCAGGACTCTCAAACTCACCACCCCCAGCTGTAAGCCCTTTTTTATTTATTTATTTCTATAACGTTTAATTTTCAACATGCTTTGTGTGTGTGCTGTGTTTTTGGGTCTCTTTGTTGATCTCTGCATTGGTCTCATCACCACATTGTTAATACTAATTGCATATATTACTTTCTGATTACTTGGCTTGTCTTCTGTGATGATAAGAGATATTCTAAATCCTGTTGTTGTGTAGAAGAGTATGATTATCATCTGCTTTAGCGAGTTGAAATGCTTTGTGTGATAATAAACATGATTTGGTTATTGTTTCGTGTAGCAATATTTCTTCACCGATTGATTGATGCTCTTCGCTATCTTTACATAAATTTCCTGTGCTGAGTTAATATCTCGTCATCTGCATTGATCTCATCACCACACTGTATCCTTTAGCTATTGTTCTCTTACTAATGGCATATTGCCTTGTGATTATATGGTACGGTAGTTATATTGATGAGCAACTGCTTAACTGAGGTGAAAGTAGTATTATTTCTATTATTACATATATATATATAGCTAGGGTGTAACTCATATACGTGTTTTGTTTCTTTCTTTTTTCTTGCAGTTGGTGACTTGAACCATTTGATATCTGCCACAATGTCTGGTGTTACATGCTGTCTGAGATTCCCGGGTCAGCTTAACTCTGACCTCCGTAAGCTTGCTGTCAATCTGATCCCATTCCCTCGTCTCCACTTCTTCATGGTGGGTTTTGCTCCTCTCACCTCTAGAGGATCTCAGCAGTACCGTTCCCTCACTGTCCCTGAGCTCACCCAGCAAATGTGGGACTCCAAGAACATGATGTGTGCTGCTGATCCAAGACATGGACGTTACCTCACAGCCTCCGCCATGTTCCGTGGCAAAATGAGCACTAAGGAAGTGGACGAGCAGATGCTGAACGTGCAGAACAAAAACTCTTCCTACTTTGTTGAGTGGATCCCCAACAATGTGAAATCTACAGTCTGTGATATCCCACCAACTGGTCTGAAGATGGCTTCCACTTTCATTGGGAACTCAACATCGATCCAAGAGATGTTTAGGCGTGTGAGTGAGCAGTTTACTGCTATGTTCAGGAGGAAGGCTTTCTTGCATTGGTACACTGGTGAAGGCATGGACGAGATGGAATTCACAGAGGCAGAGAGTAACATGAATGATCTTGTGTCAGAGTACCAGCAATACCAAGACGCAACGGCAGATGAAGAAGGTGAGTACGAGGACGAGGAAGAGGGAGAATACCAACAGGAGGAGGAGTACTGATCTGAGAGTGTGTTATCTTGAACCAGTTTAGCTATTTGTTTCTTTAAAAAAAAAAGAGAACCTCAACTACCAGTTGCAGGTTTTCTATGCTTGTATTAAACAAAACTCTTGATCTTGTTGACTTATGGTGTGTTGTTGTTTGTGTACTTTGCGTTCTTAAGTTTGGTTCTCTCTTTCTATTTAGTTTGATGAATGTTTAATATCTAATCGTCTGCTCATGTTTGTTTTTACTTTTTTGAGTATACATTAGCCAAAGTTATTAATTATCATTTAAATACTGAAAAACAAGGAATCATAATTGTAGTAGGCCGAATGTTGGAACATTCAGACCACTCATAACAGCGGATGAATGGGAGATTTTACTCATGTAAAAAGGTAAGATTCGTCAGGTTGGGTTGACTGAAGCTGACCTGAGACTAAGCATATAACCTGATCAGTCTTTTGGACAACTTGTATAGACCTACAGCTTTGAGACTAAAAGATCGAGCCTCGCATTCAATTCTTTACAAAGATCATAAACCACAGCTTGGAGGATAAACTTGCAGATTACATTCAGTTTAGAATGTAAGTAAAAGCTGATCTTAACCCAATACAAAATGTCCTCAGAGTCTACTGGAGGAGACAAATAAAGATGTGCAACAAAAGAACACCAAACCTAAGTTTAGAAAGTTCTTATTTTTAATGAATAAGTTCAGAAAGTTGGTTGATCAAAAAAAAAAAAAGTTCAGAAAGTTGCAACAGGAGAAAATATGTGATATACTTTCGTTTAATATAAGTAAGAGGCAGCAACTCGGAACAATTAAACCTTACCGACGAAGACTATCCATTCCTGATTCCTGGGAAGGTAATCTGTCATGAAACAACAACCCAATGAGGACATGCACTTCATTTGAGTTTCTATTAAGCTAACTTCTAGCCATGTTTGTTGGTCATAATTTTGTGAAGATATAAGCACTCTTTAAGATTTTGCCTGTGCAGTCGGAACTAAAGATTACGTTGCGTCTCTATCACCAACAGCCACGTGACCTCAGCTCCTCCCTCCTACCCTAACCCAAGCGCATCTTCCCTTTCTCTTCTTCATCTTGTGTATCCTAGTCCCTATAATCTATCGATATTTGAGCATACCACAATTCCTAGAACATATGGTTTAATGCGGTTCTCGGTGTTGATATTTACATTTTCATGGTTTTTATTAGGCTGGAATTTTACCTGATATTCCAAAATTACTTGGAATTATCCAAAAATAACATGATATTTTGGACCGAATTATTTGAGATTATAATCTAAATCATCTGAATTACGAGATATTTTACTCGAAATATATAATATTTTATCTAAATGATTCCAAATAACTAAACCAAGCCAAAACCAAACAAAACTTAAACTATTTTCTTAAGCTATTGTATTATAGTATGGATTACTTAATAGAATTACTATAATTTTTTTTTACAATTACAAATTACTCTTTACAAATCTAAAATATGAATATATAAACATCTAAAGTTAACATTTTGCTTTATTTCACAGACTCAAGACTGAAATATAAACTTTACACATGTAATAAAACTAAATAATGACATTTCTCATCAATTATTTTCATCTAATCTTCAGAAAATACATATGGAATAGTGATTATGATTTTCTTAAATTCAGAACTTATATGTTTTTAAACATTAAAATAAATAATATACATAACTTTAAATAATTTTATAAAAATTAAATATATAATTTATGGATGCAATTATAATTTCTATTAAATAAACTTTGTAAAAAAAAAATAGTCTCGTACTTTAAAAATACAGATCAAAGTCTAGTATAGAACAAACAAATAAACACATCATGAATCTAAACAATATAATTTAGACACAAATCTACAGTTTGTATCATTGCATTTCAGGGATCGAAAAAGAAAGCTGGGAACCCACATGATCATCTCTCCGTATCAAGGCTTCAGAGCGCCAGAGCTTACCAACTTCAGAGCATCTCAAGAGCTCAACTTCGTAGACACTCTTCACACCCCATGAGCTAAGCAATTGCTTATCTTGTGTGATTACAATGATCCTACTCCCTGGACCAAACCAACTAAACTCATCAGCAAGCGCGTCTAACTTTTCGATCTTGTCCACGTCGTTAGCCACAAGCAGGACCTTCTTGTTCCCGAGCCTTGCTTTGATCGCGTCGAGACACATGTGATGAGAGTTCTTCGTGCTCATCAAGACTTCTCCTTGCATCTTGGAAAGAAGCTCTTCTTCTTGTAGATGTAGTGGGATACTTCTAACGTCTTCAAGAAAACAATGAGCTTCAAAGTTGGGTGAGATGTTTTTGTAAACGTGTGTCGCGAGTGCTGATCTTCCCTTGCTTCCTCGTCCCCAAATCCCACTTACTTGAACACCTTTATTTGAATTTAGATCAAGTAACGGATACAATCTCTTCATGTGTTCCTCGAAACTAATTATGTTACTGGACAACATCTTTGATATTTTCTCAGTAACTCTATCGACCAGCGTCGCGTCATCTTCCCTGCAAATAAAAATAATTAGAGTCTAAATTGTGTATCAACGTATACATATATATAACTAAACTGTTAGCTCCGAAATATTTTATATCACGTCATCAGTAGAGCTGGACCTGAGTGGGATCCTATAAAAGATTTGACATTTCAATAGGGACAATTTGTAAGGCCTCCACATATGAAAAATACAAATTATTATATATATAAACTATTAATTTCTCAAGTTTTGCTCTTCTTTAAAACCGTGCATGAAACTTTCAATATTTGAACCAAAAAAAAAGAAACTTGCAATATAGAATATTTTTGTTATTATAATATAAATAAGTAAATTTAATACTACAATTAAAATTTGAAGATATATTTTATGTTATTTAAAACTTGCAACTTTGATTTTTATATACAGAAAATAATATTTCAAGCTAATTTTTGTTTAAAAAGTTAATAAAAATATTTGTAAAATGTTATGCACAAGTTAAACTTTTTTTCTAGTTTCGAAGAAGACCGGCAAAATCTCACGACCAGCTTTGGTCATCAGGTATTAGAAATGGCTGGTACTGGATCTATGGGGAAGAATAGGGCATGGCCAGAACGCCTACTGATAAATATAAATACATATAGATATGGAGATTTTACCAAATCTTTGAACAGTCGCCGGAGAGAGTAGCCAATCTGGCCAAGGCATCCCTCCACGAACTGACTCTCTCTGTGCTATGTCTCTTCTCGTGTTTCTTGAACTGCTTCACCAATTTTCCCGTCTGCCTCTTCAGGTGAAAAGGTTCAACCTCGTAGAAAATAGGCACCACAGTGAGTAATTTCTCTTTCTCTTGTTTTAAAATCATGACGAGCTCCTCGAGACACCAGAAAGAAGCTGAATAGGTCGGAGAGACCACCACGATAGCGATTGTTGATCCTTTGATGGCTTGGACAATCACTGGTGCAATCGAACAACCACACACTAGTTCCTCGTCGTCTTTGAAAGCTTGAATGCCTTTGGTCTCTAACTCCTTGTACAGAAAACTCACGAAGTTCTTGCGAGTATCTGCGCCTCTGAAGCTCAAAAAGACGTCGTATTTTTGAGGAGTGGAAGTGGAAGATGAAGACAAAGACCTGGATTCGAAGGGTCGTCCAGAACTAACTTTTCTCTTAAAGCACGATACTTTCTGTAGCATCGTGTTCATGTTTTTTTTCTCTTGCTCTTTTGGCTTTGGTACTTTTTTTTTTTGTCTAAGAGCATTTGGCAAAGTTGACATATTTGTAGGGTTGGAAGAAAGCAAAACACTTTGTGCGCGGTAAATTGTCGAGAAGTGTTATGTGGTTTGACTTCATTTTGAAAAAAAAGGAAAAGATTGTATATGTTTCCAATTTTAGGGTCAACACAACATAATAATTGATTTTAGTCGCTACGTACGAAGTTAAGTTAGGTTCTCCCCTGTTTCCAAAAAAAAAAAAAGGGTTAGGTTCTCCCTTTTTCGTTAACTTTTTAGAAGAATTTGAGTCTAGGATCTTAATCTTTCTTTAACCTCGAGTCAACCTTTGATAATACAAATAACATTTTCGAATTTGGAGCATAGAAATACTAACGCTTGCGTTAAACCTGTAGCCTACCACATTTGGTAGTAAAGTTAAGTTAGGATTTTGTGGTGTATTTGAAAAAGAACGAAAAATTAAAAACAAATATAGAATAACATCTGTTTTTGTGTACAATTATAGTAAAAATATAAACTATATTGCTGGAATTATAATATTTTATTTATTGATAAATTTATTCAAAAAATCATTGTAAATACATGTATATGAAAGTATATATTTATGTAAAAAGAAAAAGAATATTTTTTCATACAATATATATTGATTAAATTTTACAAATTAATGTTGTTCTTGTTCTATTCTGTGTATATATAAGATATGTACTGTAAACAAAGATACATTTTTATAAGATATTTATATTTACATACACAAGTGATTAATTTTATGTTTAAGGTCATATATTTATGTAAGATTTTGGAAAATTTTATCGTATGTTATATTTTGCATTGACCCAATTCAGAAATAGTAGATTTTATTAATTTATCGTCATTATAAATTTATCAAATATTAATTTATAAAATTTCTAATGTTTTAAACGAGGAAGTCAAGTTTTATTGAAATTTTATTAAAAATATTATAAGGATCTGAGTTTTGAATCACTGAGAAAGCGATTTATCAAATAATAATTTAGAAAAAATTTACATAAGATTTTCAGCATGATGTAAACAAAATTGTCTAATGAAGATTTTCATGGTATAGTTAGATGTGAGTTCTAATAAGATGTGTGAAACTGATAGTCGTAAATTTGTTACGCAATATTTCTTATATTTTGTAAGCATAATAAACCAATGTTAAATGATTGAGCTTAATTTTATAAACTTCACTGTGAAGTCAATTCTTTTTAAGTCAATCATAGAAATGGGATAATGAGGTCAATCCTATTTCTATGGCCGGAAATCAT